CCCCCCCCCCCCCCCACCCCCCACCCCCCCCCACACCCACCCACCGTGCTCCATGCATGGAGTGGCGTATGAACCGAACCGAACCGAACCTAGCGCCATGTTGTGCGGTGGTCTTTGGGGCGCGCCCAGGGTCGTCGTCAGTCCAGGTGCTTGGGTTGCATAGGTTCCTATGGTGTGTCTTGCTTGGTGGAGTGGCAAAACAACGGAGTACAGTAGGCCGACGACGAGCACCGAACAGGCATGTTTGCGCTCGCGCTTGTGCTGGCATCGGCGCCGAAGCAACCGACGGGCGATTTGAGCGCCGCGGACATTGCTGACTGCCAGCGTTCCGTCGCTGAGTCGCGCTGGTCGGCGCGAGGCCCAATCCTGCTGACCTATGCCACGCAGCTGCCATGCAGGTGGATGCTCGGGCTGTCAGCGGCAAAACGAGGCCTGCCACTTGTCGTCGCTGGGCTCGGAAGGCGTGGATGGAACTGGTACGGCGGTAGCACCGTGAAGAACCACGGCGGCCGTCGTGCGCTCGCCGCCATTCGCGCCGTGATAGGAGCAGCTCGCTGTGGCCCGGTGCTCGTTGCTGACTCGGGCGATGCCGTGATTGCAAACCACATCGACCAGCGAGCGCAGGACGCAGCGGACGGCAAGGCGAGCGTGCTCATCAGTACCGAGTGCTCTTCGTGGCCTAAGTGCTATCGAAACCAGTACCGGAAGCTCGTCGCTGGCCACGCGGAATGCATCTCCAGCGGGCGTCCATGCTTTGCTAACTCAGGGTGCCTGCTTGGCTCTTCGTGCGAGGCGATGTACAACTTTTTCGATTGGCAGACGCGCCGGATGCGCGAGTGGAGCTGCGGCGCGAGTCACTGCGCCACACACGTCGAGGGGCTCACGGTTGGCCGCACTGAGCAGACAGACGATCAGGCGTTGATCCATTTCATGCTGCTCAATGGCACGCGTGCGCAGATGCCATTCAAGGTGAAGCTCGATCGAGAGAGTGAGGTGTGTCTGAGCTTGCTGCCATGCAGTGGACGAAATCCAATGAAGGTACTCGGGCCCATGCAAGCGTGCTACGACGAGCGTGCCTACCCGCTCCCGTCAAGAGGCATTCATGTCGATGCGAATGGCGACGCAACCTTCCATCCACCTTCCTCGGTGTCGAATGGCTCGCCGAGTGCCTCCGCTCTTCCTGCCACACGACCAGTCGTCCTACATGCCAACGGCGCAGAGAAGGCCAACCTATACCGAGGAGAAGCTATGCTGCAGCTCACAAATGGTTCATGGCTACATCAGCCATCCACGGAGCTCCTCCGCCACCCGGTGCTGCTCATCGATGCCGTGGCGTCCTCAGGGGGAGCTCCACAGACGTCTGCCACACAAGCAGGAGTCCAGAGGAACCCGACCTGCCAGGTCACGACCCTTGGCGCACTGCTCGGAAGGAACACGGAGCAGGTCGAGGGCTCGAACGCCGACTCTACCAGCAAGGCAGCAGATGCGCGGCTAGCAGGTGCCAGCTCGACTCAGCTCTTGAGCTTGCCGCATTGCATGTCAAGGCATCAGCCAGGCAAAGCACAGCAGGGATGGGCTTAGAAGTGCAGGGGGGTCCGACGAGCAATGTCAAATGTGTGGCCCCCAGGCCGCACCGGGCTTGTGCGTTGCTGGGAGTGCCATGCGTGGCGACCCACGCATCGACCATCGGGCGTGCTTAGACCGTGACATAAAGCTTAGGCCCAAGCAGGTCGGCGCAACGGGGCGCGGTGTGAGAAGCAGAAGGAAAAAAATAACAAAGACGAAGGTGTGCTCACACCATGAGGCACATGGCGGTGTTGCGACGCGGGACCGTCGTGCGTCGAGAGGTCGACCGAGATAAATAAATAAAAATAAATAAAAACGGTCAAACTCTGAGACGAGATGGGATTTAGGGACATGTGTCCCCGCCCTGCACGATCTTGGTGTGAGGGATCTTCAATCCGTGTTCTTCACCCCTCGTCACAACCCGACACGGAAGAGCGGCAAGAGTTGGGGCTGCGGCTACGGCTGCGGCTGCGGGAGGACCGAGATAGCTCTCAGCGTACCGATGTTTTGTCATCCACACAACCTTGTATGAATGTAATAAAACCCTTGTAAACCTCACGTGTATCCTGCTTGTGACGTACAGCGAGAGCGCAACGTCCGCGCCCCCTTGACCGCCGACGGCTCAGCGCGAGCGGCGGTCGGCGCAAACCACGGTCAACGCCCTGGCCGAGGTCTCGACATGGGAACACCTCTCCACGGTCGGACGCCCACGCTCAATGGCGAGAGAGGGAGAAGGGGAGAGGCACTCCCATGCAAACCTGGGCGTGGGCCCAGACAGGGCAGGACGGCCGCGGGCGGCGCCAACGCGCGGCGCGGGCCCAGCAGCAGCGGCAGCAGCAACGGCAGCGGCAGCAGCATCAGCGGAACCAACAGCTCGGCACCTTAGCAGAGCCGACTCACCACCGGCACTGTCCGCGGGGGAGGGATGAGCAGCTCGCCGGCGAGCGTCGTCACCGCGTGGCCTGCGGACAACAACAACAAAGAAATGCCGGCCGGCAGGGCGGGGAATGGCGAGCGGCGTCACCCCAGCGTGTCACCGCGGATCCAGACGCGCGCGCTCGCGCCCTCCTCCTCCTCACCGCCGACCTCGACCTCGAGCTCGCCTTTTCACACCTTGAGCTGTGAAGAGGCGACCCTCGCCCTCACGGCCCGAACCCTCCCGAGGCGCGACCTCCTCCCCTCGGGGAATCTCGGGGAATCTCGGGGAATCTCGGGGAATCTCGGGGAATCAGGTAGAATCTCAGGAAATCCCGGGGAATCTCGGGGAATAATGTCGAATCCCGGGGAATCTCGGGGAATCTCGCACCTCCCCTCTGCGAGAGCTGCTGCGCCAGCATCGTGCTCTTGCCGAGCACGCCGCTCCTACGAGCCCACCGACAGCAGCGCGGGAAGACGGTATTGTGCCGTGTACTCATAGCACCGCGTGAGTACGAGCGACACAAGCGCAGTGAATACAGCGGAGTACAGCTGCGTACAGCGGAGTCCGCCCCCTCTCGAGCGCGGGTCGGGTCACAAGAATACGTGTTCCGCTTCTGGGGCGCCGCTCCAGTAGGGCGCCAGCGTGCAGTGCGCCGAGCCCGTCACCTCATAGAAAGAAAGGTCAGCGAGTCAGCCCGTCAGCCCCGACACACACACGTCACCGCGTCGTACCCTCCGGCGCATCTCGGCGCATCTCTCATCCCGGCGCATCTCGGCGCATCTCGGCGCATCTCTCATCTCGGCGCATCTCGGCGCATCTCGGCGCATCTCGGCGCATCTCGGCGCATCTCACCGGGTCCTCCGGGATCCCGACAGCGGGCCCGAAGAAGCGCGAGACAAAGTCGGCCTCTGAGCCGGAGCCGGCGGCGGTGACGATGAGTCCCCGGTACGGCCTGCCACCATCGGACGAGAGATAGCCGAGGTGTAGCCGAGAGACCGCCGAGAGTCCGCCGAGAGACCGCGATCATACTGACCACTCTCTTGATCGCCCTCTAGCCGCCCTCTAGCCACGCGCCAGCGCGAGACGGCGTGCAGGTCAGGCGCGAGGGCGGCGACGGCGCCCGCGTCGGGCAGCGCAACCTGCGGCGATCTCGCGCGATCTCGCGCGATCTCGGATGGTCTCGAGCGATCTCGGATGGTCTCGAGCAATCTCGTGCGATCTCTGCTGATCTCTCTTGATCTCGAGCGATCCCGTGCAATCTCGGTCGATCTCGTGCGATCTCCGCCACCAGCAGATCGTCGCTCGCGCCCACGACCTGACGGCGCACACGCGCATGGCTTAGTGCTGCAGAGCCGGGCGGGTGTCAGGCCAGCCGTAGTCCGTCGGCCGCCTTGGCATGTGCGCGTGCGTGCTAGCCCGCTTCGTGTGTGAGTGTGCTGGAGTCCCTCGCCCAGGTCGGCAGGAGGGAGAGATCCCGCATCCAGGCCTCTCGAGAGAGGGGGAGAGATGGGGAGAGGTGGGGAGATCTTCCGCTTCTGCAGAGGCGCGCCACGACTTTATCCACTGGCAGCCCGAGAGCGAGTGCGACCTCGCCGCGGGTGGGGCCGACGCCGTCGAGCAGCGGCCTGGGAGGCGACGCCGGGAACTCGAGCTCTATGCAGCCCTCGCCTGTTCACCCACTCCCCTCCTCATGCCAAAGGGAGGGCAGAAGAGCCGACGCGGCCGCGGCCGCCCTCGCCGCGCAGCGCGGCGACGAGCTCTCCGGAGCGGGTCCCGAAGCGGAGGAGGGGCGACTCGCGCCCTCCGGGCGCCGAGAAGAGGGCGTGCGCTGCGGCGAGGGTCGCGTGCCCGCAGAGGTCCACCTCGACCGACGGCGTGAACCACCGCAGCTCAAACGTCTCGCCACGGGCGGGCTCGCCCTCGAGGCCCTCCACCTCGCTCGCGCCCGTCGGCCACATGAAGGCAGTCTCGGACAGGTTCTGGTTCGCGGCGACCGCGCCCATCCAGGTGGCGTCGGCCGGCGCGTCGAGCAGGCAGACGGCGGCGGGGTTGCCGGCAAAGGCGACCCGCGTAAACGAGTCGACGTGCAGCAACGCCGGACAGCGCTCGTCCGCCATCACTAGCGAGCTGAAGGATTTGGCTCGCAACCAGGGAGGGCGGCGAGGAGCCCGGCACAGCGCTCTTGCTCGCATGGAGCCCAAGCAAGTGGGGGTCTGGGTGACACCACCCACTGCAGGGCGGTGGGCGGAGAGGCAAGCGCCGCCTCGATGAGCGAGCGAAAGTAGCGGTTGATGTAGGTCTGCAGCAGCTCGGCACCCTGAGCACCATGCCGCTCGGATAGCAGCTCAGAGAGGCGCGAGAAGCCAGAGATGTCGATGAACGCCAGAGCACCCTCGTAAACCTCAACCTGCGAGGCGGCCGGCGCGGTCGGCGGCAGGTGGCTCTGTGCGCACCTCGCTGGGAACGGCGCACCGATGGACTGCGAAGGCTGGCGGCGTGCCGGCTCGGGTGCTGCAGTCGCCTCACCAGGCACCGCGGCACCAACCGCTCCAGCGCTCGGGTCTCCAAGCTGCTGCTGCTCATTCGTGGAGCATTGAACAACACTAAGCGAGCAGCTGGCCGGCGGCGAGTGTGGATACGCTGCGCGCAATGTCAAACCGACCTCTGTCGAGCCTGAGCTCGGGCAGGGGCTGTAAGGTAGTGAAAGACCTTCCCTGGGTCTGTCTCTCACACCCTCACTGTCGTCGTATGCGAGGTTCTCGTTCTTATCACCCTATCTGTCAACCTCTCACAGGCCAGCGCACAGCGCCATAGGAGGTATTTTCTTCTCAATAACAAGGCTGTGAAGGGCATAAGCCCTACT